GTCTCTCTCCTCTCTTCCTGGCTGGGTTCCAATAATTCCTGCTCTGTTTTGCATGCTGAGCTTTGAAGTTTAGGCTTTTCTCTGCACTAACTGATTTTTAAAGAGGCCCTGGTGCCTTATATGCCTCCTTTAATGTGGTTAAATTCCGAACAAACATGTTTGATTACATTTACGTACAGTGAATTATTCGGTTAACTTATGGTTGTTAAAGGTGAAGTGTGGAACTTGTAGCTATTAGTGGCACCAGATGGAATTAAAATAGTTTTAAATTATATAGTTTTTTTCACCTTTGTTGAATGTTAAATATTTCAGTATATTATATTATAAAAGGATCAAAACTACAGTAAAAACAACTATAACGTTACTAAAAATGGCTATTTCATATTAGGGATGTAACGGTATGAAAATTTCATATCACGATTATAGTGACCAATGTTATCACGATTATAAATATTATCACTATATATATATATATATATATATACACACACACACAAATAAATATATATATATATATATACGCACACAATGTGATTTCCGTTTGTGATCATGTGATCTTCGGTTAGGCGATCTTGTGATGCTTTTTAAAGCAAAGTTGGGGTTGATTTCGAGTTCACATACAAACATAAATAGAATAGGCTAATTAAATTTGTCTATTTTAATGTAAGACCACATATTTTTCGTCAGTGATAGAAATATTATTTAAGATGGTAGTGTAAGCAAGTTTAGTTTGAAAACGTTTAATAGTAAATATGACACAATTAGACAATATTTGAATAAAATAATAAGAAGAATAGATATTTATTTGCAAGAACTGATTGAGTGCTGAATGCTGCACGCACACGCAGTGTTGTCAAGGTAACATTTGGTCAGTAATCCCCTTCGCCAAGGTTGTTCCAAACGCTTCTACGAGACAGTAATACCCTGCACCCTTCAAAGAACACACTTCAAGGGCTCTGCCCTTCGAAGGGAGTAGGGCATAGGGATGCTCACTTCTGTTTGGAATTCGCCCCATGTCTGTTGTATCACCGCAGAGGCGCGGACGCGGCTCTCTCGTTTCATTCAAATGCAGCTTGCCGTCTTGCGTCTCAGTTTTTGATTGTATTGAAAATTAAATGAGGAATTTCGTATTAATACTACTATAATTTTGCTGTAGTGATCATATTGTCCTGACGATTGTTTTGTACACTGTTCATAATGGATTTATAAACGGGTAAGATTTCAAAACAAACAAAATCTGTGTAATGTTAACTATGAATATACAATACATTATCCCTTAAATGTCAACCTTATAAAGAATGAGAATGTGACGTAATGCCGCGTTGAGTTCTGGGAAACTGCTTTGTTTATCCACCATATTTGCAGGATAGCGCTGCCTTTCCGCTATTGAGTTTAGGGCAGTATTTGATTGTTTGTCGTGATTGTGAAAAATGCCTCCAGTGTATGTCATTCATACTGCATCGAGAATTGCAATAGTAACTCAGATCATCGTTCTGAGAGAAAACTGGACAATGCAATATGTTTTTTCGTCTTTTCTATGTGTAAAAACACCAAGAGAAGGAGGTCGTGGAGAAGACGCCGAATAGTAAATCTGTTAATGTCACTGATTAAACCCACTGACTCTCACTCAATAAAAGAATCACATTGCTGTGTGTTTTTGAAAGTTTTGATTTGGTTGGTTTAATAGTTAACATTGCCTTTGTTAGCATGACTCTCACTCTCACTAGGCTTGTGAATTAGCAGAACTTGAACAGGGGACTTTCTAAAATGCTTAAAGTGGCTTAATGTACCAAGTCAGTGATAAAGACAAAATTGTAAAGCATATACTATGTGCAGATATGCATATAAGATCAAAATGTGAACGCAACGCGTTTATTTACACGTTAAGCATTTTTCTCTCATATAAAGAACACGCTTAATACACTGAGACAGTGATATTTAAAGACCACATTCTGTACACACATCTTACTAATAAAGCATAATATGTGGAAAAACAGATAAACCCAAAATATGAATTTTAGAAATCGCTGTCTTAATCCAGAAGCGCTTTCTAGATTACAGTTTTCTAAAGAGAGGAAAACGCGTTACATTTAAACATGTCGCGTTAATATTCTGGCTCATCTGCATGTCTTTTAGCATCACTGTCTTAGCACATTAAACCAGCATTTGAAAATGCTACAAAACTTTCCCCAAGCTCCTAGGGATTTGATTTTGCTTGTCATTTGTTGAAATAAATATAAAAAGTACAGTGAGTTTGTGACTGTTCGCTGAATGTGACCCACAATCTATGATTCTCCTCTGTGGCCATGGAAAAATGAATATTTATAATGACAACAATTATACTTTGTCATTTAAAAGTTTCCAACAAAGAAATGGATCGACTTCTGCCAGCTTGTTGAACACACACTTTTATTTGGATAATGTACCATATGATGACTGAAGCAGCAGCGAGCGTCCAGCGGGCGACACTGTTTTCACGCTAATCGGGTAAACACTGTAAACCAAATTCTATAAAACCTAAGAGAGAAATGCAGTGCATATCATGCAGTGCGATAAAATAGCTTCTCTTCCCTGCAAACGATACAATGAAGAATGAATGGTTGGTTAACTTTAAAGGCAAAAACAAAACAAAAGATAAGCATTTATCCTTATAGAGAATGAGAAGTAACCATGGGAACGGATAGCGTATCCTGCTAATATGGCGGCGCCTTCCCGAAATGCAATGCGTAGTGAAAAGATCGTGACGTAACTCCTCATTCTCTATAGTTTGACGTTCGTTCGTCTTGACTCAAAGCCACTTGCTGCAAACTTTTTTTCGCGGAAGCTTTGCGCTAAAGTGAGATAACGAAATATTTAATCTCTAATCAATATTTTTTTGTCCAATTATTTGCCCAGTTAGTTTTGGTATTGAGGTAAAAGTTACCATGCATTCGCTATATAACAGTGGGTGGTGGTCACGAAGGTGACTGAGCAAATTTGATGCATTTCCCCCTTTTGCAGCGACTTTCTTCTTGCAAGATCGGCAGACAGGGTGACCGTCCTCGATTAAATTGCCTTCAGGACTCTTGTAAAAGCCAAAATACGACGGATTTACCGCAAGTTTTCAAAAGCGCGATAATCAAACACGGTTTTGATGATAATTCAATTTTAAATGGTAATACTAACCGTCAGGGCATTGTATCGTGATTTATCGTGAAACCGGTAATCGTTACATCCCTATTTCATATAAATGCTGTTGCTTTGAATTTTCCATTCATCAAAGAATCCTGAAAAAACATATCACCGTTTCCACAAAATTATGATGCAGCACAGCTGTTTTCAACATTGATGATAATAAAAAATGTTTATTGGGCAGCGTCATCTTAAAATGATTTCTGAAAGATCATGTGACACTGAAGACTGGAGTAATGATGCTGAAAATTCAGCATTTCATCACAGCAATTAATTACATTAAAAAATGTAATATATAAGTTACTTTAAATTGTAAAAATATTTCACTATATTTTTATTTTACCATGATGAGCATTAGTGACTTATTTGAACTGACTTACTGACCCCAAACCTTTAAATGATACTTAATATATATAATATTTTGTTTTTGTGTTTTATTATTTAAAAAAAAAAAATATCAAAAGACAATTGCTCGGCAACTATATAATATATACACACACACTCTATAAAATAAAAATGAAATATTTGTTTGACAGCTTTTAAAAACATGAAATTGCTGAGTAACTGTCATTGAAATAAAAAGAAGCAAGTATTTTAACGTTTTCAGGGCTCTAGACTCTTGCGACTAACTTTCTCAGCACATAATTGGGTCGCAATTATTTTTTATTTTTTTTGGCTACAACATGGGATTAATCAATGCATGCTGATTAACTTTTATAATAGTTTATAGTTATATGGTAATGAGTGTTCAACATTCAGCCCGTTCTTTTTCATCAGTGTTATTTGTGATTTAAATTTTGTGAAAGGGAATTCCTCTTTTGCTCTGTTATAAGCCGGGCTTCTTGCACTTTCAATTTCGAATTCGCAATCTTGGTGTCACGTTTTACAAGAAAAGATCAGTCTGTTTTGCTTATATCTATACACCTTTCACTTTTTAAGACTAAAACCATGGATCCAAAAGATGGATTCATTGTTATTCTTAATTAAAAAGCACAACAACAATAAAGCAGTAGGCTATAATGACAAACTAGCTAACATTACAAAAACGAATAAGATGAGGCATGGCATACACCACATGCTGTTTTATATAACGACTAATAAATTACAGAATGTTTAGCAAACACTGAGGAATCAAATAAATAAAAGAAAGAAAGAAAGCCTCCATAGCATAACGTAAACCGCAAAGATGAGCTTTTTAAAATGAAAAGTAAAACTAAACTGGCTGTCGGTGACAGGACTTGCATGTTTTTTTTTTGTTTTGTTTTTTTCACAAGAATATCAACATGTTCACCTTCTCTGGTTTATGAAGCGGTCTTATTTTACTTCAGTATGAAAACCAAATCCTCCATCTGCCATTTCCTCAATAATCGCGTAATTTTTGACCACGTCAAATTTTAACTCGCACGTTCTCAAAAATTTGTTGCAAATGCGACCATTTTGGTCGCAGTCTAGAGCTCTGATTTTCACCATAGCAGATTAGAGAAACACTTCACCTTTAAGTTCAAGATTATAAGAATATTATCAGTTTGCATATGAACGAACCACAAATGTTGGTGCTAAAAATGTGACAATAAACCTAGGACTGCCAATTGATAAAGTAAACCCTAAATAAAACCATTAATTTATGGATGTTAATGTCTTGAGAAAAGGCGCAGAGCTCAGGGCACCTCTGTTTACCATCTTCTTCCCTAACCTTTCCGAAACTAACGTACTTTAACCATTCCCTTCTCCTCTGGGTGACCTACCGGCTCTTTCCCTCTCGGTTACTGACCTCACTAGTCTTTTAATTCGGCCTCCACATTTTAACAGTGTTAATTTTGTTTTTGCAGAGAAAAGGCGTGACCCACCAAATGGTATGTGTCCTGGTACTTACATTCACTCATGAATTTACTCCTAATGTTATCAGAGCTAATCAGTTTGTGTTTGCTGTTGTTGTTTTTTGAAAATTCCCTTTTTGACAGAAGTATGCTGACATGCACATAATGTATCTTCCACAGAAATCAAAACACATTCTTGAATGAGTGTCGTCAGGCATGAGCGTGATTCACACAAACACACATCCGCATTGTACATGACCTAGATGAGAGTAGAGTTCAACCCCTGACTGGAAGCCTGAGGTCAGTCTGTGCGCTGGGAGCCATATGTACGCCACATGGATCATTCCATGCCACTGCGCTGCTGCGACACTCTCCCATTCAGTTACGTCAAAGAGACCATATTTCCTCACTTACGTAGTTTAAAGGTTTTCTCATGGACGTTTATCAGGGGTATGGCACTGGTTTGATGTCTCTTAGAAGCTGTAGTTGCAAGTTACTAAATTATCTTGTTTGCTTCATGTCAGTAGCCTGCAGCAGGATATGTGTGACGCATGCCTATTATTTTATTTTTTTTATTTACTTTTTAATAAATTTATGCATTTAGCAGACGCTTTTATCCAAAGCGACTTACAGTGCATTCAGGCTATACATTTTTTATCAGTATGTATACAGGGTTTGAAATTAACACCCGCCAAATGCGGGTAAAAATCAGCTGTGGCGGGTAACGCTGTCAAATCACTAGCCAATTTAGCCGGTTACTTTTCGTAAATTATGTTTACTTATTAATTTCTTGAGGAAGTTCATGTAAGCCAAATCTGCACAGATTTAGTGTAAATACTGAACTCCAGACTCATCATGATGTATTAAATAAGCCTAATTGCGCAGCATCTGGGCATATCTAGCTTACTTGAACATACCCAGCGATGGATGGGTTGTGGTAGCTACTGGCCATCGGGAGCACCGGGACATTCCCAGTGGGTCGATCGCCGAAGCGAGGGAGACCTCATATTAGGCGCTGTTTTTAAATTACAGCCCACGTGAAACTGCAAAAAGCAAGTACTCCAAAAGTGTGAAGAGGTGTTACCCGGTGCATCCGCCAGCCGCGCGTTAAAGCAGAGCGGGATCAGTCTCCCGCACAGCGCTGTGCTTCCACCACGATTTATAAGAGATTAACAACACAAACCGCTCAATCCATTCAGAAATGACACAGAATTGTGATATGTCAACATTAAAGGTTCTGCCTGAAAACAGCCACGACAAGGTCAAATACATGTAAACCAACTGCAATGTAAACAAACTTTAATAGCTTATTTCTCTTTAAATGTTTCATTCAAATTAATTTTAATTTAAGTAAAATGTTAATTCAGTAAGAGCCTGATTAAAGATAAAAATCAGTGTCTCTGTAATTTAGAGACACTTATAAATTAGGTGTTTTCCATTTACAAATATTATAAAGATCTTAAAGGGATACTTCCAAAAATTAAAACGGTCATCATTTAGGCTACTCAGCATCATGTCATTCCAAACCTGTATGAATTTCTTTCTTCTGTGGAACATAAAATAAGATATTTTGAGAAATTCAAGAAATGTTTGTCCATACAGTAGAAATCAAGATTAACCCAAATGGTTTGGTAACATTCTACAAAATATCTTTTGTGTTTTACGGAAGTAAGTAAGTCATACAGGTTTGAAAAAACATGAGGGTGAGGAAAGGATGACAGTATTTATCAGCAGTAAATTTCCTATGTTCTAGCACAAAATCAATGCTTATACTGTCAAGTGCATTTCTATGTGACAAAAATGCAGTAGGCTATTAATTTGTTGCATTTGCTGTGAATTCAGTAATGTATCATTATTTGTTTTTGTCCTCATTTATTTATTTATTTATTTACTTACTCCAATTGAAGGCCCTATAACACAGCAAAACATTCACAGGGGACCTTGAGGGCCGGGTAGGCTGGATTTGTCCAGGGACAAATTTTAACCCCATTCCAGCCCTGTACCCGTCACTCCGCAACCAATAATGGCGTGGCGGGCGCACTGGTTTCCTTTGCATTGAAGCAATAACGAAAAGTCAAAAAATGCCTGAAGACTCGCATCGTGTCTACACCAGATGCGACAAAATGCTATAGAACCCATTATAATCGGTGATGCGGCCTACACTGGATGTGGCGCAGCACAGCATGACAAATCCCCGACAGTAAACTGATGCCTCGTTCTATTTATGACGTAGACCTACTGTTTGACAAAGTACAAATTATTTGCAATGGTCACTTTGTCGCATCCAGTGTGGACAGCCTCAAGCTGTTGGCTTACCTCTGGCCTTTTTTTCATAATTTATTCGTTTAATTTTTTTGCCTAGTAGAAATTATGAATGGCTGGTATCTTAAAAATTTAGTAGCCAAATTGGCTGGTGAGTGAAAAAGTAAATTTCAAATCCTGTATGTATGTATATATTTATGTATAATTTTTGTTTTAATAATAATTGTAAATATGTAATTATCTTTTTTTTATTTATATTTTGCCATTTCAAAAATGCATAAAATATAAGTGATTAAATAATATAATAAAAAGTACAATTAATTAAAATTGTGGACACCCATGCGCCATCAAATATTTGCTTAATTTTCCCAAAAGAAAAAGATTGTACGTTTAAAATGCTATTATAAGTTTGATTTCATGTGGTAATTAAAGGTAAATTGTAATTTGTGCACCATTTTTGCACCAAATCAAAGTGCAAGAATAATCCTGAACACTTACTACGTCTGCCATTGGTTGACTAAACAGATAGAACCACCCCCAAACTCACACTATTGGTTCAGCCAGTGTTGTTTGGTAGCAGTGTTTGTTTTGATAGCACCACACTATTTACATTTACTTTCCAAGGGATTCAGCCTATTTTGTTTTAGCATTACCAGCCAGCCTGAAATGTTATTATCTGTGATGTCAAGTCAACATATTTGTCCTAGATTTGTTACAGCAGCTCTGGAGGCCAGTTCCATTTTTTTCCCCCCTTCTCCAATCTGTTCACATTTCAAATTCACATTCATAACTTATAGCTGTTGTTCCAAGCATGTTGCGCCCCTGCTTGACTACACTATGAAGAATGAAGCCGTTAAAATCAGATTTATGCAAAACATCGTTCCGTCCTCAGTATTTGTGTTGTATAAGATGTCCATCTTTCTCCAGCACATTTCCTTCCCCTCCGCTTCCTCATTGTTAATATCTGACGGAGTATGCTCAGTACGCCGCTTTATCTCTGATATAGTTTGGTGTTGATGAGTAGAGAAGCTAATCACTGATTCGCTGTGAAACATCTGTCAAACGAAGCCAAAAACACACTTGTGTATTATAAAAAGTGTGGCTTTGCCTGCAGTTGAAGACTTGTAATGCTTACAGCAAATTTCAGAGATTAAACTGGATTAGCAGTTCCTTAAGTAATATTCCACATTCGTAATTTTTTTTAGGATTTGACTAGCATGAGCGGGATTGGTTTGGTGGACGCCCAGATCACAAAACTTTCACAATTGGTTTAAAGAGCGTCACCGGAGGCTGCTTAGCTTGTTAGCTTCTCGTTACGGTGAAATTAACTAGCTACCGTAGCTTCATGCCGAAATGCTGGACCACAGATGAGATGATGTTCTGTACGACCTTCCTGTCTGCCCCATCCGAGGAGTTTTTAGAGAGCGTTTCGAGGCCAGATGGTACATTGGTGCCCCTGTGATGCTTGGTGCTGTCCTGGGATGAACTGAACGCTCGCTTTAAAGGGTTAATTCACCCAAAAATGAAAATTAGCCCAGAAATTACTCACCCTCAAGTCATCCAAGATGTATATGACTTTCTTCTTTCAGACGAATCCAGTCGGAGTTATATTAAAAATTGTCTTTGATCTTTCAAGCTGTTTAATGCCACTCAGCAGGTGTTGCATGCATCCGTCCAAAAGAAGTTAAATAAAATGCGCCCATCCATTAAAAAAAAGTGTCTCACACGGCTCCAGGGGGTGAACAAAGGCCTCTTGTAGCGAATCGATGCGTTTTTGTAAGAAAAATATCAATATTCAAAACGTAATAATCACTTTAATGTAGCTTGCGCTCACTGTTGTGCACTGGAAGCAGCTCCGGGAGCATGACGAATGAGGTCAGTGCTGCGCATGCGCCGGTGAGTCTCGTGAAAACCAACGTTTGTTAGTCAGAAGTTTCTTGTAACTTTTTAAGGAGTTTGTATTGTGAATATCTTTAGTTTTCGCTTAACATTACAAAGTTCTCACAGGGGTCTTCGTTATTTGATAGTTATTTCATTTTGTTTTATTTGTGCTTTTGGCGACATAAACAGTATTATTATTATTGCTTAGTGTTAGACTTGTTGTGGTCCGTAGTCTTTTGGATTGTAGATTTTGAGATACAGTTGTGCATTTTTTTAAAGGGATAAGCTGTTTTAAATGAATATTTTTTTAACAATAATTTGGGGCAGTTTTTCAATTCCATAAAAATCATCAATATAATATATTTGACAATTATTTTATTACTTTTATTCCTCAATATGGCACAAATAATTATTTGACTACATAAATTGTTATTATTATTATTATTATTATTAAACATTTTATACGTTTTTGATACATAAACAGATTAAGAAAACTTTAATATAATGACAAACACAATAACAATGATAATTATATTTATGCATTTTACTTAAACGTTTGATAAATAAAATTATTGTTATTGATTATTTAATAATTATACTGTTTAAATGTTTTTATACATTGTACTTATTTTATTTATGCATTTTACATGTACATTTTGATAAATTAACTGAATTAATATTATTTTTATTTAATAATTGTAATGTGTAAACATTTTATGTATAATTTTGATAAACAGATTAAGACAAACTTGTATAATGGCAAACATAATAACAATAATTATATTTATGCATTTTAATTATACATTTTCTTGCATGAACTGAATAATAAAATGTATGCCATTATATTTGTATTATAATCATTAATTATTATTTTTATTGTTATTATAATTAATAATGCTTATACTTAGGCATTTTATTTGTACTTTTTTATTATTATTATTTAACAATAATGATACATGAATATTATTATTAATGATATTAATAATTCTATCTATTCAAAAAAGTGTAAAATATAAACTTTAGTAAAAAGTGACTAATCTAACCATTTCATTAAGTAATTTTTCCTTTTTGAACACAGTAATTTAAAGGTGTTTTGGTGATTCATTTATTATTATTGTTTCTGAAGTTATTATTTTTGACCTGTAGATTCAGACCGTGGCTCTGGGTTCCACACTGAACTCTCTGGCTGTCATGAAAGCGACTGCTTGCTAATGCTTGTGGTTTTGGGAAAGTTTGACACAAAGCCTGTTGTTCTATGAAAGCTGCTTTTTATCTCCCACATTTTGCTGCGATGAGAGTCATTATGACATGGCATATGATCCAGAGTGTTTTGCTTGTGGTCGTGTTGGTCAGTGCTATATTTGCGTAATGCAGTCACGTTTATTTGAATGAAACAAATCTCATGAAATGTAGCTGAAATGAGTACATTGTTTTTGTATGAAGTTTATTTTATTTTACTACTGATACTGAATATTTAAAACAGACATTTATGTTAAGTCTTGCTTTTTGACACAATATGACATTTATTTTATTTGTTGTTCTTAGCACACCAGCATCATCTGGACTTTGAATACATTAACTTGCAGGAATGTGTGTGATTGATTCACTGTGCCGCCCCCTCTTTGCTTACGCTGGACAGAATCAGCTGTTGTTGCGAGCTCGGCCAGAGACCACTGCTGTGACTCTCGCAGGGAAATGTGTGCAACAGGTTGGAGGTTCTCAGGCAGCAGCTAATCAGTTTTGTCATGTGCCTAGGACCTGCTCTCCTGATGGCGACGGTGGACATCAAGAACCCCGAGATAAACAACAAACTTAATGTGTCCCACATGAATAACATGGTGCACAGTGGCCTTAACAAGAAGGAGAAGAAGGTCAAGGGCAAGAGGAAGAAGTTGACGAAGGCTGACATTGGGACACCAAGCAACTTCCAGTGAGTCTTTTAAGTATAGCAGATTCAGTACTTCCTGTGTTGTCAGGAAGTGACATCAGTAATGCATATTAAAATGCTGTCATGCTGCTTCTGGGCTTTTATTTTTATTTTCTGTCCGTATGCTCGAAAACAGTCACTAACTTTAAATTTGTAGTTTTGTTTATATGTTATGCTTTTAACCCTTTTTCCACAAAAAAACGCTAGTTAATGTTAACAAATTGGATGAAAACGTACTAAGTTTTCTCACACACGATATAACAGCCTACCAATTTGTGATGCCTTTGTGATTTTTCAAAAAGATTTTCTCCCAGCTTGTTGTAGTTGTGGTGTTCCCAGTCAAAAATGACCGGCCTACAATTGCTTCTAAATTTCTTGTTCTGCAATTCTATTACCAAATATAGAATTACATCTTTTTATCAACTTATCTTTAAAAAAAAATGTTTAGGTCTAACTTGTTCGAAAAGAAATGATTTATCAAGTTTCTATAGACTTGATGCTATTTTTAGTTTCATCAACAGTATACCCATATTGTGCCTTTAAAGAAATGTAAGCCTAAAGTGTGAAAATCCTCAGTGACTTATCTTCAATTAAATTATTAACTTAAATTATTATAAATTTAAAAAAAAAATGTATTTAAATACTTATTCGTTTAATGTGCTAAATCAGTTTTTATGACACTTTTATACCTTGAAAGAAATGTAATATTATAGTTTAAAAATCCACATTAAAATACACTTGAAAATTTTATTTATATAAATGTTAATATATATATATATATATATATATTATACAATTTTAATATTTTGTGTTTTTGTTATTGTAACTGTTCTACTTTTAAAGAAATTTAATATTAAAGTTTGAAAAGCCACATTAACTCAAACTTGAAAATGTCATTATTTTGAAAAAATATTTACTTAAGATATTTATTTATTTTAGCTGTAATGTTTTTTTGCATTATTATTATTATTTTTTTAAATGTCATTATTAATAATAAATATTGCATTCAGTCTTTGTCAACTTTATTATTAATAATATATATATATATTTTTTTACTAATTGATCTGGGCTTATGCCAGTGTTATTTTATTATTATTGTATAGTTTTTAACATTTAAAAAAATGAGTATTCTTAATTTTTGTTATTTAATGTGAATATAGCTTTAATTTTTTATTACTATTAATTATAACCCTGACTTTTTATGTCAGTAAAGCTTTAATTTTTATTACTATTGATTATAACCTTGGCTTATGCACCTTAGATTTTAAGTGAGCATTGCCAAAATGATCCCCCACATTTTTTTTTCACTCCAAAACTGAGGTGCATAAGCTCAGATCAGTGTGACCTGGAGCCAATCAGTTCCTAGAGAAATACAAATCCTGTGCTCATTGAAAGAAATCAAGTTGACAAAGACTGATTGCAAGATTTGTTAATAATATAACACAATGAGAGATGTACAAACAAAATACTAATTTAGGAAGGGTCTTCAACACACAAGCACAAGGGTTAAGTTTCTTTTTTCCCTTTCCTCATGTTGTGTTTGTTGTTGTTTATGCCAGTCTGACTGTGCTTAATGCAATATTTTCCAGGCACATCGGTCATGTAGGATGGGATCCGAACACAGGCTTCGATGTAAGTACACAACAATGACTTGCTCTGTCACACTCGCACACTCTCACAGACATGTTGAAGAATCTCTCATAGGAAAACAATGCTGACCTGTGTAGTAATGGCATGATGAAATGCCTCAATAGCCTTGTGTTCATGCAGGCTGAAGCATCTGACGCCCACAACACTACCCAGACTGCATTTGTACACTGCAATGAGCTGTCTGTGTATTTGCGCTGTGTATTTTAAATGGGTTTGTTATGGAAATACTGGAGATATTGCAAACAATTAGAAATTCAGGCTACTGGTGCAATGAAATGAGATGCTGTTGCTCTTAACTAACTGGAAAAATGTGCAAATGCTCTGAAGAAGGTTTGCATTATGCATGCTGCTGGAATGTTGAGCATGATATAATGGATGGTTTCAGCCGAGATGGTTACCATTAGCAGTTTGTCCACAAGGTGGCAGGATTATGCTATATTTGAGAACAGCATGAATGCTGGGAAATCATGTACTGTATAGTGCTTGCAAAGCAGAATTGCATTGAAATCTCTTTTAAGATTTTAATCATCATGATCTTATCTTAAAAAGAAAAATCCCCATTAACTTGCACTCGAAAATGTTACTGACTTTAAAAAATGTTTAACTTATTTTTTTTGCTTATTTATTAAAATAATACATAATTTACATTTGATAATGTTATTGAGTTTTAAAAATATTCACTACTTTTTTTTACTTATTCATTTTATTCTAATTTTAGATACGTTTTTTTAGTTAGCGACTTAAAATGAATGAGTAAAAAAGTGAATCTTTTTATTTTTTATAAGTGTTATACTTTTAAAGAAATTTAAGATTCAAATGTGAAAATCACTATTAACTTGGTCATCTTTAGAAAATATGGACTTATAGATTTAAAAAATAATAATAATTTAGCCTTAATCTTCTGATTTTAGTCTCTCTGAACATTATACCTTTAAAAATAAGATTGAAGTTTGAAAACTGTTAAAGAAATAGTTAACCCAAAAATGAAAATGGTCATTTACTCAATCTCATATCGTTCCTAACCTGTATGAGTTTATTCCTTCTGTTGAGCACGAAAGAAGATATTTTGAAGAATGTTGGTAACCAAACAGTTGACGGTAGCCATTGACTTCCATAGTATGGAGGAAAAAAAATACCATGGAAGTCAATGGCTACCGTCAACATTAATCAAAACATCGTCTTGGGTTAACTATCCCTTTAACTCACACTTCAGCATTCAAAAACTAACCAGCAGTGATAACGATATTTGCATACTGAGTTGCGATTTGCTCCTACATCTGTTTGCATACTGGAATGTGATTGGGCCTTTTGATTTTGCATCCATTTACTCATTATCATTATCATTAATATATAGATATATATATAGATAGATATACTGTATATCTCTCTCTCTCTCTCTCTCTCTCTCTTTCTTCTATCTATATTTAGTTGTGCTTACTAAGGCAAGCATCACTATTACTATTGCTCATACTTAAGGTTGGTGATTTGAACAAACCCCTAACCCTAAATCTAACATTTGGGCAACGAATCTGCACGCTTCTGCTACGGGAATGAATGATACTTTCTAATTATACGACACGGGCAAAAATTCTAGTTTTGCTTAACTTTATCTCTCTTCTTTTGCTGCTTTGCAAGCACTTGTATTTCGTTAATGGATTCTAGTAAATAAACAATGCTCATGTTTTTACCTTTTTATTTTGCAGTTGAATAATTTGGACCCAGAGCTGAAGAACCTGTTTGACATGTGTGGCATCTCTGAGGCCCAGCTCAAAGACAAGGAGACGTCTAAGGTCATCTACGACTTCATTGAGAAGAAGGGCGGCGTAGAGGCTGTGAAGAATGAGCTGAGGAGACAAGGTGAGACTGATCGCTGTCAGACTCGACACCTGGCCTCATCATATTCATATGTCTGTCCACCAACCATCCGCTGTCAAAGTCAGGCCTGAATCAATAAAACTAGCCTAAAACTTCCCCCAACTAGTTATTTCTTGAGTCGTTTCTCAGTGAAAACAAAGTGATGCATGAAACCGCAAAGCCAATATGTCCTTTCATGACATTAAAATAATATGGCTGTAACACATTCCTCAGAGGATTTTATACAGAAGTTGGGTGCATATATTAGCACTTTATATTTGATCAATATATGTGGTTTTCCTTCAGGTCCTCCCAGGTGGTGCGGTAGGTGGAATGTGTGTGTTTCTGAGTGAAACCTGCTTGGATTTGCATGTGTTGGAGGTCTGATTCTTTGCAGGTTGGCATGGAATGTTTTTTTTTTTTTAATACTTGGATGACATATTTTAGGTGTGAGGTTTTACCTACAGCTGATGTAACTTCATAGAATAGCATTTGTGCATATGGATATTTTCCATGATTCTTCATGAGGCATTTGTTTACTTATGTTGATTGTAACAACGTTTGTAGGTCGGGAAGAAGGAGGCGGGAACCGGCGAACATTAACCTGTATGAGTTTATTCCTTCTGTTGAGCACGAAAGAAGATATTTTGAAGAATGTTGGTAACCAAACAGTTGACGGTAGCCATTGACTTCCATAGTATGGAGGAAAAAAAATACCATGGAAGTCAATGGCTACCGTCAACATTAATCAAAACATCGTCTTGGGTTAACTATCCCTTTAACTCACACTTCAGCATTCAAAAACTAACCAGCAGTGATAACGATATTTGCATACTGAGTTGCGATTTGCTCCTACATCTGTTTGCATACTGGAATGTGATTGGGCCTTTTGATTTTGCATCCATTTACTCATTATCATTATCATTAATATATAGATATATATATAGATAGATATACTGTATATCTCTCTCTCTCTCTCTCTCTCTCTCTTTCTTCTATCTATATTTAGTTGTGCTTACTAAGGCAAGCATCACTATTACTATTGCTCATACTTAAGGTTGGTGATTTGAACAAACCCCTAACCCTAAATCTAACATTTGGGCAACGAATCTGCACGCTTCTGCTACGGGAATGAATGATACTTTCTAATTATACGACACGGGCAAAAATTCTAGTTTTGCTTAACTTTATCTCTCTTCTTTTGCTGCTTTGCAAGCACTTGTATTTCGTTAATGGATTCTAGTAAATAAACAATGCTCATGTTTTTACCTTTTTATTTTGCAGTTGAATAATTTGGACCCAGAGCTGAAGAACCTGTTTGACATGTGTGGCATCTCTGAGGCCCAGCTCAAAGACAAGGAGACGTCTAAGGTCATCTACGACTTCATTGAGAAGAAGGGCGGCGTAGAGGCTGTGAAGAATGAGCTGAGGAGACAAGGTGAGACTGATCGCTGTCAGACTCGACACCTGGCCTCATCATATTCATATGTCTGTCCACCAACCATCCGCTGTCAAAGTCAGGCCTGAATCAATAAAACTAGCCTAAAACTTCCCCCAACTAGTTATTTCTTGAGTCGTTTCTCAGTGAAAACAAAGTGATGCATGAAACCGCAAAGCCAATATGTCCTTTCATGACATTAAAATAATATGGCTGTAACACATTCCTCAGAGGATTTTATACAGAAGTTGGGTGCATATATTAGCACTTTATATTTGATCAATATATGTGGTTTTCCTTCAGGTCCTCCCAGGTGGTGCGGTAGGTGGAATGTGTGTGTTTCTGAGTGAAACCTGCTTGGATTTGCATGTGTTGGAGGTCTGATTCTTTGCAGGTTGGCATGGAATGTTTTTTTTTTTTTAATACTTGGATGACATATTTTAGGTGTGAGGTTTTACCTACAGCTGATGTAACTTCATAGAATAGCATTTGTGCATATGGATATTTTCCATGATTCTTCATGAGGCATTTGTTTACTTATGTTGATTGTAACAACGTTTGTAGGTCGGGAAGAAGGAGGCGGGAACCGGCGAACATTTCAACAAACTTTAATAATAAAATAAACTCAAAACAGCGCGACAGTCGTCCGCGAGGGGACAAACAAAACCAAAACACAAAATAAAATCCAGGCCTGGTCCTCTCTCGTCTTTCACTGTCGTCACTCCTCCTTTGTATCCTTCCGGAGCTCCTCCGTGAGACTCGAGACCGGTGAGTGGTGCAGGTGTCGCTCATTATCAATTACTCCACCGGCCTCGCTCCGTTCCCACGGCTCTCGGCTCCGCCCCTCTCGTCACATTGATCTCTTAAAAAATGACATTTGTTGCTGATTGGTGTGGTGCAAAATTTTGTTTGGTTTTTCCTCTAGAGTGAAGGTCTTGCTCTAGTTTTAAAGACCCCATGAAATGAAATTGACACTGTATTATTGATGTATTAGATGAAACAGGGAGATAGACAGGGCGATATTGAAGTGGTTGTAATTTTATTTAAATTAAATTTTATTTATGTAACTTTATTGGCTGTTAGCTTTTACTACAATCCGTTAAAAAGGCTGTGAATGGGACAGCGACGGTATTCTAGTGGGAAAATATTTTCAATTATGCATACTTTTGCTGTTTCTCGTACTGTTCATACGGTAACCATCTACTACTGAAGAATCACTGCTTAGATGTAGTTTATAATACTTGACAATATGTAGAATGACTGAGTTACTGGTCATTGTTAAAGTATTTTTAATTTCATCTCCAGTGTATTTAAGTCAAATTTACAGTTTGGTGAATTTTTGTGGGTGAAAATTTGACTAAATTTAGCTAATGTGACTGCTCCTTTAGATTTTAAATGGGATCTGTGTAGCTATTTTTCTTTGAATATATTATAAATAATAAATTGTTATTGTTGTTATAATTATATATCATGTATTTCAGTAATTGATTGTACTTAATTATTATCGTAATTTTTTTATTATTGTTATTTTTGTTTATGGAATTAAATTAGTTTTCACATAAGAGAACATGTATTTCACATATATCTGCTAAAAGTCATTTTCCCTCAATAATTAGAATTACACTAGCATACAGATGCTTGAAAGCTAATAGACATGAATTTAAAACTTAGTTTCATGGAGTCTTTAAGTGATACTAATGATGCCATCTCTTGGAAAGTTTGTTTTTACGAGTTAGGAAGTCATAATTATGATGTGAGATGCGTTCAAGTAGAGCTAGGCGATATGGGTAAAACATTATAACGATCATTTTTTTCATATCAGTCGATATCATTAATTATCACGATAAATGTCAAATTTTTATTTATTTCTAGCCAGATTTTTGCTCCAAAGTGAAAGTTGTTGAAACCAGACTGTTAATTTTCCTTAACAACATAAATATCTTAGCAGAATTGTATTTCTTAGTTTCTGCATGTTCTAATTAGTGAAATTGTTTCAAATCAAGAATCAGGTTTGTGTCGCCTGATATTATTAATAATATTATTACGTTTTTGTCTCTTAGAAATGCACATTTATAGTAGTAGTAGCTTGTTAAGATGCAGATGCAAATTTGTTCATTATCAAAATCGGTAACATTTACAAAAATTTTAGCAAGCTTTTTGTATAGAAATGTAATTATTTAATAATTATGAGTTTTTTTTAATTAATCATTGGTCTTCCATTGTAGCATACATTTAAATGTCCCCTGAAGTGCCTTGAAACATGCAGCATTATTCTATGTGGTGACGTAATTTCAACTGAAACAGGAAGAGAGGGCGGGACATATCGAGCAGCCCCACCTTCTTTTTAAAATAGCCAATAGCATTTTCTTTATATCTGCTCGGGCCAGAGCCGTTGAGCTCTGTAAAGCCGCATTTGACAGCCACAGTCTAATAGACTACCCCCTACCCCCACCACCACCTCCGTCCGGAGGAGCCGCCCCGCCTCCACCTCCTCCTCCACCACCACCTCCTCCTGGACCTCCTCCACCCCCTGATATGGACGGAGGCCACAGTGAATCAACGCCCTCGCCCATGGGCGGGAAGTCAGCTCTGCTGGAGCAAATCAGAGAGGGCGCTCCGTTAAAGAAAGTGGAGCAAAACAACAGGCCAGTGTCGTCCACAGGACGGGACGCGCTACTCGACCAGATCCGACAGGGCATCCAGCCCAATAGCATTTTCTTTATATCTGCTCGGGCCAGAGCCGTTGAGCTCTGTAAAGCCGCATTTGACAGCCACAGTCTAATAGACTACCCCCTAGATTCAATATGAAACTCTTAGTAAAACAAAATAGTGGTCGTAATCATGCTGAGGCTGTGTAGTTGCAAAAATGTTTAATATATGCCGACTTGTGTGAAACAACGTGAAACCAAACCTCATTTGCACCAATCGAAAGCATATTTACACTGTCTGAATCGTTCCCTCACCCCCTGATATGGACGGAGGCCACAGTGAATCAACGCCCTCGCCCATGGGCGGGAAGTCAGCTCTGCTGGAGCAAATCAGAGAGGGCGCTCCGTTAAAGAAAGGGGAGCAAAACAACAGGCCAGTGTCGTCCACAGGACGGGACGCGCTACTCGACCAGATCCGACAGGGCATCCAGCTCAAAACGGTGAGGACTGCCAACGCTAACACATCCTGATGTGTCCCAGACAAAGGTGGAGGACCACCTGCTCACCTGTCAATCATCCATTGTGTTAAAAATAAGGTTTTAAACTGCCTACTAACACCCAAAAAACTTTAATTTTGATTTCATGAGGACTTTAAATCATGATAAACCACACATATAGCACCTCAATACCATGGTAAAAAATATAACTATGGTTCTTAGTTATCTGTATGAAAAACAGTAGTGTAAAGACATTTAGTATAAATGCACACATGCTATAGCTTAATCACAAATAATACTCTATATTCCATTACTCCTTTAATACATTTAATTCATGTCTACATTAATAAGTCAAATTCAATACAAAAAAACACAATTCTGCCACAACACCACAGTACAGTTAGTGATACTACAGTAAATCCATGGTAAATGATGGTGATTTGTAGATTGAAAAGTTTTCTGACTATATCGTTGCGCAAAGTGTTTCTCCTGACATCTTCACTGAATTCAAGCACTATAGCAATTTAATTCAAGGATTGTACACCGAAAAATGAAAATTACTCCATGATTTACTCACCCTCAAGCCATCCTAGGTGTATATGGCTTTCTTCTTTCAGATGAGTTATATAAAAGTGACATTCCAGCAGATGACGTAGGCATAGTGTAAGCTCCGGAGAGGAGTGACGAATGCCATATTTTCTCACTGACACACTTCCAACTCGGAAACTGAGGGCTTAGAAAAAGTTAAAAGATTCCCACTCATAATTATGGCTTTGTGGTGGCATTCATATGCGTTCAACTCAGAAATATGGAGAGTCTGCATATTTACTTATTTTAAAGCTAACAAATCTGTTTCTACTCTTGCAGCACCCCCGCCTCCACCCTCCCGGGGCGGCCCACCACCCCCACCCCCTCCTCACACTTCTGGGCCCCCACCTCCACCACCCCCAGTGCGGGGACGAGGAGCCCCACCACCCCCTCCACCTTCAAGGGCCCCC